CCACCAAAGATGGCAAGAGCATGCGAGGAGATTCTGCTCCCAGAACCCACAACACCCGAAATGCGCGTATGTCGTTAGTACGGTTTCGTAAGTATAGATCTTTAGACGAGGCGGACTACCGCAATTCGGTGATCTCCAGGGTCTATTGGGCCACATCGGGCGGAATGTACGGAAGTTGATGCCGATGATACCTAGGTAATGAAAAAACTCGAAAGCGGAATATTTCGAGATAAAAACCTAAAGCGCTTGATACGTCAATATAAAGGATATTAGTAATTGATTTTTTTTATAGATTAATATTCGGAGTCCGCTGAGCGAGCCCATGTAAATCTTGCCGGGCTGATCCGCTGGAGACATTCATGGCATCGGATAAATCTCCATGCAAACCACCACCAATATCCAGGTCATCAGGATTTTTATACCCTTAAACAATTACTTATTATCCATTTTGATATTTTATTATCAGTTTCGTTATTTAGTCTAATTAAGAGTGAAAAAATTTGGTTTTAGATGATGCTTCAGACTATGATTTTAGAAAGTCTGCAAGCGCATGAACTGCCTTGAGCAGACATCGGACTATCAGAACAAAAAGAAGTCTCGTCAGAGAAAAAGGTATCCAAAGGGTAACTATTTATAATTTTGTTAATAGATGGCTAACTTTGAACAAAGAGTGTATCGAAAGGATACTACTGACCTTTTGGACCTCCGGCTTTTGAGGACAAAACAAGTCAAGATGGCTTTGCTAGAAAAGGCCAAGCTTCAAGGAGTCGTAAGTTTTGTGGCGATTCTCATAGTGTTTTACAAGTTTATTAAATTAATATTACTATGAAGAACTAACTATTTTTAGGTGGCCCCGGCTGATGATGGCGTTTTCGATAAAGACATCTTATTAACAACCACTTAAGCGGAATACATGCTAAATGAATTAGGAAGAGGCCCGGAACTCAAAATGTCCAAACTGAAAAAACTTTCAGAAAGTGAGTTTCACGCTGAAATACTTTTGTAAATCCAAATTTTTAGCAAAGATCTGGTCTCTTCTTTGAGGAACAATTTGTGAAGAAATGGGACACATCCCGGCCGATCTGCTATATACGTTCCATGAATCGCTAGGTAATTTACCTCCACGACATCACAATTCAAACCCATGTTTTTTTCAGAAGAATGGGACAAAAATGACGTGCGAATGGCGCTGGATACAATTTCACGAAACGTACCTTGTATCCGATTCCAATATTCGCAAAATGTACCCTCTGGACCGCACTTTCACTATATGAAGGTGGACAGCCCTTCTTTGTAAGTGAAAATGCAATAATTTATATGTATTTTTAGCTGTGGCCTTTCCTATATCGGGAAAGTTGATAATGGAAACCCTATTTATTTAAGTTTTGGATGCGGCCAGGCAAGTATTAATAGCTAATGTTTATAATTTTCATAATCTTCATCATTTTTAACCAATAAAAATTACATTTAGAACGTCGGCGTGGCAATCCACGAATCAATGCACGCCCTCGGCGTAAACCACCAACACCTGCGATTTGACCGCGATCAGTGGATTACGGTCGATTGGTCAAACATTAACCCGCAGCACTACGATATGTTTGCCGTAGCCGATGCTAAACTGTTTACAAGGTATTTGGCCCCTAAAACCAATAGTTTATACTTTTTCAGCTATGGAGTCCAGTATGACTATGGTAGCATCATGCATTATAACGCTTATACGGGTGCAATGGATACGAATAAGCCCACAATGATCCCGAAGGTAAGTGAATACAGACTAGAGATACGTGAAAAAAAGGAAAAATCTAATTGATACAAGCTATATAAACCATTTAACGGCCAAAAAACACTGAAAAATCCCACGAGCACATAAATTGTAATGTAAACTATATAAATTAGCTCAAAAAGCCGCTAAATTTCAAAATTTTAGGTCAACCAGGCGCAAAACACGCGAGTCCTCGGCCAACGTGACCAAATGACGCAGCGAGACACGGAAATTTTGCAGAAAATGTATTGCAAAGCTAATAGTAAGTCCATTAAAGACCCTCAGGACGATGAAATTCCGTTGAGAGCAAGAAAGTTGCGCACCGGGCGAGAGTCGAACCCGCGATGGTTCGCTCCACAGTCCGACGCGCTAGCCACTACACCACAGGGCCAAGTGGGGAAGGGAGTCAGAGACGCCCCAAACCCCAGAGGGCCTCTGGCCGGTACGGGGCACCACTAATGACGCATCTCTCCGCGCGTTCTTGGGGCAGCACCTCGGGG